GGATGCACAGTAGTGAAGGCCTATTCCCATTGTACCCTGGGCTTTCTGGGGTGAGCAGAAGTAGAATCCTGGTATACTTCAGCCTCCTGCCTGAGTTCTGATTTTCCTGCCTGACATAATGTCTACTCATGTCCCCAAGTGATCTGTGCTGGATACACTTGCTTTCAACTTTTCTAGCTTACTTAAAGGATGCATTTGACTTGCTAATATGGAAGGTAATGTGATGCAGTTTTCTCAGTTCAGCACAGGACAAAAAACCCTGGCAAGAGCAACAGCAAAAAACATCCAGGACTGTGATTAAGCCATTGAAATGAGAGTAGAGAAAACAGAAAATGAAAAGTAGAACATCTTTCTGCCTTTTTGAGGACATGCTTCTGATTAGAGAGAAGGTCTCTGTTTCTACTACTTCTGAAGATGAAAATTTTAAGGTGAACTCAAGTTCCCGAGTCAGGAGCAGGCGTAGAAGTCAGTGTCACCTGCCACATGCTGCCCTGTGGTAAGAAAACCACATTCTAAAAAAGGCTATGCTCTAAATATAACCTAGAAACCTGCTTTTAAATGATGGCATCATCTTTTCATTTAAAAGGAACACACCTAAATAAAAGTTAAAACACCGGCGGGTAGAGGAGGCCAGGGGAAGGTCATTGGGGGGAAAAAAGGGAGACATATGTACTACTATCTGTAGTACTTTAAACAATAAATTAAAATTTAAAAAAAAGTTAAAACAATTTTTATTAAAAACTTACATTGAGTTCCAAATTTTTACTACAACTGTAATGGTTGTAATAATAATGACAAACTAAATGTTGTATTTCAAAGATCTATAACATGGCTTCATATACACCATCAGTAATGTGTATGTGTGTGTACATACACATATATATATATAAATGTGTATATATATTAGATTCTCTAAGTATATGGATAACTTTTTTCAGTAAAATATATATTGATTTGAAGCTTTTCAGAACAACACATTTAAGAGAAGGTAAACTTTGAGAAATAATATCAGCTAAAAGTTTACAAACACTATTCAACAAGTGTATATGGTATAGATATTATGTGTATTACTTCAGTTCTTAAGTATTTACTGACATTAAACATTGTGCCATATCCTATATTTGGTGCTAAGAATACAGAGATAGTAGGTTAAACCATAATTGCTGTTTTTATAAATTAAAAACAGTTAATAGCAATTTAAACAGCAATTTAACGTGACATAAACTAAGTCAAACATGATCCTTGTCCTTTTGGGCTTAGTCTGGTAAGGAAGACGGGCTTATAAACTGACATGTGCAAGTGTAGGGTGAACAATTAGAGCAGATTTTAAAGGGTAAGTTATATTTTTTAAAAAGTAGGAGCAGAATGGGTGGTACAGCAACAGATGGACTCGGCTACAGTGTATTAGAACACTGAAGACAAGTTGAAGACTGGAGAAAGGAAATGCAATACATCATTTCTAAAAGTTTGGCTGAGAAGCTGAGCGCATCATTGTGTCTGGATATGGGTGTGGTTTGGGACATACATGTTTGCTTTTCTTTTAAGAGGGGAGAAGGATGTTTATGTGCTGAAGGGAGCAAGGGGTCAGGAGGAAGGTTGTGGAGAGTGACCCTGAAGAGGCCAGAGGAGAGAGCATCGGTCATGGAATGTTTGAGTCCTGGGATAACATGGACTGTGTGCCCAAGATTTAGCAAGCAGGAAGCATGCAACAAATGTTTCTGGAACTGAAATAAAAGCAATGCTAGATTTTTCTATCTAATTTTTGATAGTACAATGTTCTTCTCCAAGGAAAATAGTGACTGAGAATCAATTCTGGGGAAGTCTTGAGATTTTATTTCTAATTTTTTAAAGTAAATAATGTCATGAGGAAAGAAAAATAAAAAAGGGAAACAAATATTTAAAAGATTTTTGAACAGAGCCCAAAGCTTAGTAACAGTTTGGGGTAGAAGCAAGAAAGAGAGCAACCTCCAATGCAAAGAGGATGAGCCATGCAGTGGAAGGATGAATGAATGAAGACTGATAAGATAAAGGTGTTAGATGAAAAAAATCATGAAAATGATGGGCTTTTTGAGGCTTAGAGTATAGTATTCTAGAAGAGGCAGCAAGAAAACTATTAGTCCCATTGACAGAAAGAATGTTGTTATTAATTACTTTGTGTGATATAATGGCTGTCCCTTTGTCTGACTGAAAGCTAATCCATAGAGTGTGTGAGTCAGTGAATGGACAATTAAAAGATGGTTACGGTGCTCTGTGCCCTGCTGAGGAGGCATCAGAATCAGGATGGCTGCTAGAGTAAAATAATCCCACTTTCTAGATTAACAGGAGGCGCAGGGGGAGCTAAACAGTCAAGGACTATAAATCTAAAATTCTGAAGTTAAAGTAAAATAAATGAGAAAATTTTCAAATATTTCAGGCCAACTCAACTCCTATTTGAGCTCTTGCCCTACGGAGTACTTTCTTGAAAGGACAAAGCCTATATATCACCTCCACGGTGTAAAGACAAACAGGGCTGCTCTGCTGGTGGCGGTTGGGACCCAGAGCACCATCGTTTCAATTCTCCCTCCTCCTCGGCCTGTCCCTTTCTAAGCTGCCCCTTTCCCCAGCCTCCTGTCTGTTAAGACATCTCCATGGATCTCAATGTGAAAACTATTCTGTAATCTATTTAGTCTTTTAAAAACGATCCTTGTTTTTGGAAATTTTATTCAAGTGACCAGGGGTCAACATAACTCTCCCAATCCCAAGACCCACCCCACCCTCTTCCTCCCACCCGCCAGAACTCACTACTGAATGGCTTCCCTGGAAGCTGGCACCAGACCAGCCATGGGCAAACTACGGCCCGTGGGCCGGATCCGGCCCATTTGAAATGAATAAAACTAAAAAAAATAAGACTGTACCCTTTTATGTAATGTTTACTTTGAATTTATATTAGTTCACACAAACACTCCATCCATGCTTTTGTTCTGGCCCTCCGGTCCAGTTTAAGAACCCATTGTGGCCCTCGAGTCAAAAAGTTTGCCCACCCCTGCACTAGACCAGAAGTGGCCCGGAATCACCAGTTAGTGGGCTGGGTTCCAGGCGGTGCCAAGTGTGTGCCTGGATTATGTATGTTTGTTACTATTTCACAGAGGGGCTCTGCTATGTTGCACCCACTCTTCCCCCATGTCCTTCACCTTTGTCACCAAGGGGAGGACAACTGATATTACTAAGAGTTGGAAGCCTCAGACTGCTTACTCTTTGTCTGATACTCCAGGAGTCAAAGAGAGAGAGCAGATCAAGTAAATTGGAGATATTCTTTAAGCAAAATACCGACGTTTTTAAGAGCGTGGACTTCACCTCAGAGGGATCTAGCTTCAACTCCTGATAATAGGCATTGCCTGCCAAGAGGGTCTAGCTGAGTGACTTTACCTTTCTGAGTCTCAGTTTCACCAAATGTACAAAGAAGACAGTCGTCTCTATGAATAGTTTCGATTTTTAGAAAGGATATAGGTAAAATTCCTAGCACCATTCCTGGCTCAGGAAAACTACTCAATAAGTAATAATTATTAGTATTGTTTTTATATGGTCTATTTTTTTTCCTCAACTTTTCTAGAACCTTATGATGAAATGGCTTTTTACCTACAATGCATCAGGGTTGGGATAATGTATACACCAGAGCCGCCTGCTTAAGGTGGATCGATACTGCTAGCACCAATACTTCCCCGTCATAACATTCCACTTAAACAATCAATAGACAAATAGAAAGACCTTAATGATTTAGCATATCATTAGCATAATGCAGTGTCTGCTTGGAAGGAAACCTGAGCTACAATGGGAAATTTGAAGTAAGTGATTTTTTAAAAGGCCATTCTGCTTTTTTGGCAACTCTCCATTGACAGCATGTTACTTTTGCTTTCTTTGTCAAGCACAGAAAAACAGGAAGCACAAAATCAATTCGGACGGGGGTGGGAAGAGAGAGCTGGCAGAGACACAAGCTGTTTTGCGCAGTAGGGTCTAATCCACATTTTGCAACAAGAGATGGCTATGAACTTGGCCAGGGTCTCCCGCTAGGCTGCTAGCACCTTTGAGCATTTTTGGACACACAGAGAAATTCTTCTGTACATGTGGGGTTTGTGATTCTCTCCCCAGGACCTGGCTTTTCATTATTATTATTATTATTTTATGCCTGCTGGGTGTGCAGGGCCATGGAGTAAGTGGGGGATGAGAAGACTGAGACATGGACGTAGACACAGCTTTGCAATGTATTAGCTATGGGACCTCAATAAAATATCTTAAAAACTTATGACGTCTGTTTTTTCTTCTATGAGAGCACTAGACAAAGAGGACGAGTTTCACACTCAAATCCCAAGTAAGGCAGGTTCTGTGGGGAAGCAGTGGAGGTGACCTGGAGAGGCTGGTGTGGGCTGTGGGCAACCAGATATCTGGTGCCCAACCTAAGGCATTAAAATTCAATAAAAAAATAGTTATGTTTCAAGAGAGAACACTTGTTAGCTGTCCTTTTGAGCCCTCTGGACCTGGTGTAAGGTCCTTTTTGGTTTTATGATTCGGGCTATGCTGGCACCAGAAGTCGCACCAAAGTATCTTGAAGAATGTGAAACTAGAGCCACTTACCAAATAACACTTAGCTACTCATTATAAGAAAAGTTTCATAATGAACAACATAAACTGATGAACAAAAACAGGTCCAGAGACAAAGAAGCATCCATCAGACCATCAAACCTCAGAGGGAAGGTGTGGGGGTGAGGGGGTGTGTTAATTAAAAATAAATAAATTTTAAAATTTTAAAAAGAGAAAAGTTTCAAGTGTATAAAAAATAAGCTTGCTCTAGTTATACTAATTCTAAAACTAAATGAATTCCAGTTTAATGAGAATGAAATCTAGGATTCATAGCTAGCTTTTCAGGAATTTTTAAGCATACCAAAAATGTAGTACTTTGAGGAAAATCTATTAGATGATATTAGCTCCAGAATCAATTATCATCTTCCATGCAACTAGATACATACCTAGCAGACAGTGCTTCCTTTAATGGCCACTCAGCAGGGACTCAATCCATCTGTCTCCAGTAAAAGAAAGAGGAAGTGTTTTATTTATAGAGCCACTAAAATATCCACTGTTGCTTTATTCTGCGTTTTAAAATAATGAAGAAAACTCTTCAGCCCAAGTAGGACTTTATTGATCAACTCCCAAGTCCAAAGAGTAAGAACCTAGAAGGCAATGACCCAAACTATCACGTGCTAGACAAGCATCTCAATTTATATACTTTAAAGAGCTCCTGATTCTGCAACACACCACGTCTTATAGGTAGCGAGCTCCATGGAACATCAGAGCCAAATTAGGATTAAAAAACACACACATGCTTTGTTTTGAAATAATTACTCTGTATGGGTTCATAGGAAATTGCGATGACAGCACAGGAAAGATCAGAGTACCTTCACCCAGTTTCCCTCTGCTGGTTACTCTTGAGTACATTCCCCAAACTAGGAAACTTGACATTGGGATAAAGCATGTGGATGGTTCTGTCATTGCATGGGCAGATTTGTGTACCCACCACCAGAATCGAGATACACAACTATTTCATTGCCACAAGTTCTCCATGTGGTAACCTTTTGCAGTCGCCCTCATCTTCCTACTCCCACCATCCCTGATCCCTGGCATTAACTTGCTCTCCATCTCTATAATTGTGTCATTGTGAGAATGTTATACAATGGAATCATATGGGAAATTATACAGTGACTTTTTTTATATTGGATTTTTTTCACCTGGCATAATGTCCTAGAAATGCATGCAAGTTGTTCCATTCCTTCCTATTTTTGTGCATTCTTTTTATTACAGAACTAGGGGCCCAGTGCATGAATTCATGCACATTGAAAAGAACTGTGGGCCGCAAGGCTGCGGTGGGCACAGAGGCGGGTCTTGACCCATCCTCTGTGCCCCCACCCAGCCCCTTCCCACCACAACCCCCGGTCCCCTGTCTGCCAGCAGTGGGTGCAAGGAGGGGGAAGTGGAGAAGCCCTGAGGGGTGATCAAGGCCCGATGGTAGCCCCACCCTGCTCCCTCAGCACCTGGGAGCGTCAGCCCTACCCTTGCTGCCACCACTGCCGGTTGTTGTCTTTGGGGTGATTGGGGTGCGCCAGCAGCGGGTGTGAACACCGGGCAGGACCACGGTACATGGGGCCAACACCCACCATGTCCCGCACGTGCCCCCTAGTGGTCAGCACACGTCATAGTGAGCAGCCAAACTCCCAGTCAAGCATCTGCCTGATAGGACAATTTGCATATTTGGCTTTTATATAGTGTATAGATAATATTCTATGCCATGGGTTTGTTTAACTGTTCACCTATTATAGGACAGTTGTTGTTTCTAGTTTAGGGCTTTTTAAACAGTTGCTATAAACAATCACATATGCTTTTTGTGTAGACATAGATTTTTTTAAAAAAAAATGTATTGTTGACAATATTACAGAAGTTCCCCCATTTTCACCCTGTTTGTACCCATCTGCCCATTTCTTACCCCAACCCAGGTCTTTACCTCACAATTGCCTGTGTCAATGGGCTATGCATATATGCATATATGTTCTTTGGTTCCTCTGAGATCTGTGGGTCTGTTCCATGAATACATGCCTCTGGACCTATTTATTTCATCAGTTTATTTAAAAATGAAATGTATTTTAATAAACACTGCCTTTATAATTATTCAAAGTATATGTATACATTTTGGGGGGAACTCCCTATATATGTTATGTTTTCTTATCCATTCAGCTATCCTATGTCTTTTGATTGAAGCATTTGATCCATTTACATTTAAGGTTAATGCCACATACTTATTTATTGCCCTTTTTATTTCTTTATACATATGTTTCTCTTCTTAAATCTGTCCCTTTAATATTTCTTGCAATGCTGGTGGTGGTAATGTACTCCTTTAGCTATTTTTTATTTTTGGTCTGGGAAGCTCTATATTTTGTCTTAAATTTCAAATGATAGTTTTGCTGGATAGAGCAGTCATGGGTTCAGGTCCTTGCTTTTCATTACTTTCAATACTTCATGCCAATCCCTTCTGGCCTGGCATGTTTCTGTTGAGAAATCAGCTGACAGACTAATGGGAACTCCCTTGTAGGTAACTCTCTGTCTCTCTCTTGCTGCCTTTAATATTATTTCTTTGTCTTTCAGGTTTGTCATTTTAATTATGATGTGTCTTGGTGTGAGGTTCCTTGGGTTCATCTTGACTAGGACTCTGTGCTTCCTGAACTTGTGTGGCTTTTTCCTTCACTAGGTTAGGGAAGTTTTCTGTCATTATTTCTTTAGAAGTCCAATGTGCTACCTATTGTACCAGGAAGCCACCTATTAGATTATTTACACTTAATGTGGTATTGACATTATAGGGCTTACATGCCATTTTACTTGTCTTATTTATTCTGTTGTATGTTTTTCTGTTGCCTTTTCCTACCTTCCTTTAGGTTAGTTAAACATTTTATTTCAGAATTCTAGTTTTGATTTATCAGTAGCATTTTTTAGTATATTTCTTTATATAGCTTTTGATACAAAGATTTTTAGTGGTTTATTTAGGCATTCTATTATATATGCATCACTTATACAAGCCTTTTGATTCTTCTAGCTTAAGTGAAGTTTAGAAGTCTTTCCTTTTTTTACCAGACCCACTTATAATTCTATGTGTATATATATTTCCTCTCCATACTTTGAGAATCACATCAGTAAATGTTATAATATTTGTTTCAACTTAGAAAATTTAGAAAATTCAAGAGAACGACATGGATATTTAGTCATATTTTACCCCTTTAACTTGGTCTTTCATCTGCCCTAATGTTTCAAGGATCCTTCCCTTATCATTTTCTTTCTTTTTAGACAACCTCTTTTTGTCATTCTTCTAAGGTTGGTCAGCTGACAACAGATTATCTTATTTTTTCCTTATCTCAAAATGTCTTGCTTGATTTTCCCTGTATTTCTAAAAGATACAGAATTCTGGTTGGCACTTTTAAAATTTTAGCACTTGAGAACATTGTGCCACTTCTTTGTGGCCTCTTAAGGTTTCTGAGGAGAATTCCACTGTCATTCAAGTTGTTTTTCATCTATGAGTAAGATTTTCTTTCTTACTGCTTTCCAGATATTTGTTTCCTTTCTGTTTTTATTTTATTTTATTTGTGAATCCTCACCTGAGGACATTTTTTCCATTGTGTTTCAGAGAGAGGGAGGAGGAGCAAGAAAGAGGACAGAAAGAAACACGGATGTGAGAGAGACACATTGATTGGTTGCCTCCTGCTTGCACCCCAACTGGGGCCAGGAATGGAGCTTGCAACCCAGGTACATGCCCTAGACTGGGAATTAAACCTTCAGTGTGCAGGCTGATGCTCTAACCACTGAGAAACACCAGCCAGGACTGTTTTGGTTTTTTTGTTTGTTTGTTTGTTTTGTTTTAAAATAAGTTTGACAATGATGTGTCTTTGCATGCATTTCTTTGGATTTATCCTGTTTGGAATTTAGTTTCTTGAGTCTTTAGTTTTAAATCTTTTACCAAATTTCAGGAAATTTTATCCATTATTTCTTGGAATACTTTTAGCTTTTTTATTCTAGTGACTCTAATGATAAAAAAATGTAAGATAAAATTGTTTTAATTTTAAAAACTGGGATAGCCAAATAAAAAAAAATCAGGAAAAGGAAATGCATTTTCACTTTTTTCAACCAAGCATTCATTTATCTGAGCAGAACAGAACCCACCAATGTGTTCTTTCCGTGGCTTATATTGCTTCTACTTTAAAGCAGAAAGCAAGGCATTAGGAGAACTGAGCTGTTTTAGAAATTGTATATGTTTCTTTGGGGGATAAATTTATACCAGACAGTAATTTAAGAACCAAAAAGAAATTGCTCTAGTAAATAAAAATGTGTATTATGACTGGATAGTATACTCTAAACATAACTCTATTTTTGAGTACCAGAATGAAAATGTAAAAAGACTTTTCTGCAAAGGTAATCCTCACATAGGTATTAGCAGCTGACGTATGACTAGATTTAAGCTGACTGGCACAATATTGGTGGCAGTGGCATATGTCTCACCTGATTTCCAATATTGGTGTCTTACTGGCAAAGGCATTACTTTTCTGCTTTCCTGGATTCCAAATGAAAAGGAAATTGAAATTCAAATTAATGTTTTGGCAAAACAGTATGTAAATGATAATGAGCATATGTATTTATTTGTGATGAGGCAGTTGAGTATCATTTAGATTAAGATTAAACTGGGAAGTCTACAATGTGATTTTCTACTTAACTTTATCCTACTAGACACTGTTCTGCATAATGAACTGGTTCTTAAACACATACAGTATTTTCATTTTTAATCCTCACCTGATTAAAAATGAGAATATGTTTTCATTGATTTTAGAGAGAGTGGAAGGGAGCAGGGACGAAAAAGAGAAACATTGATGGGAGAAAGAAACATCAATCGGTTGCCTCCTGCATGCACCCCAACCAGGAATTGAACATGCAACCTGGGTATGTGCCCGAACCCATGACATTTTGGTGTTTGGGATGATGCTCTAAACAACAGAGTCACATTGGCCAGGGTACACACACAGTATTTTGAAAAACTTTAGCACTACCAGTGTACACAATTTTTCATTTTTTTATGCTTCATGGACATACTCAGTACTTTCACTGGTTTGGATATATCTGAATTAATCAGATACTTCTAATACCAAATGAATTGCTTAAGACCTAATACAATACAAAAGTAAACAATAAAATGCAACTTTTCTTCTGATTTTGTAATAAAGTCAGTGAAAGCCCTTTATATTCCTGAAATTTGCAAAATACTTTATAACAATGTTTTCAATATCTATTGTTCTTCAGAAATATTTGTTAAATTACCAGAAGTTATTCAAGATTTTTAATAGCACATTGTCTATAACTTAATTTTCTAAAAGCAGACAACAATGATTCACTTTCTTTAAAAAAGATAATAAAATTAAGGCTAGGTTATTAACAATTAGATAACCTGTGGAAATAATGCAGAGTTAAGTAACAAAATATTTTCTTTTTTCTCTTATAATAGAAATAAATTATAAAATACATGAAAGATAAGCATTTTGCTGTTTGCAATTGTATCATACCAGGACCTTTTGAGAACAGTATTAAATGAATCTAATACATTTCCCGACTTCACCTTGTAATTGCATTTCCTAATTTAATAAGACAAGATGCAAGAATGGTCAGTACTACTCATGATGTTGGGTTTTGTGATAACTTTTACATGCCCAGATCATCCAATTAAGTATCACAATCCCTCTCAGTTACTGTAACTCAGAGAATCTAAGTTTTGTTGTTGTAGGAGTGAATTTATTATTATCTTTTTTCAAGTTCTACCAATAAGAGAGCTCAAAAATGGGAATAAAATCAAGTTCTGCTGACTTCAGCATTGCCTGTTATTCTGAATCTAATCCAAACTCTTATATTTGCCATAAAATAGAAACAGTTTTAATGCTCCCTAACAACATCAACAAAAATGCTTGGCTATATCAGTTCTCTTCCAATACTATTTTAGAAAGTTATTAGCAGGAAGTCCAAAGACACTTTATCAATTTTAAACATTTTTACTGTGATGGTTCCTCATTTCATTAAAAAACTTCTAAACTAAGTGTGGGTCCTGGAGCAGCTACTTTTATCCCAAGGGGCTTGTCTGTGCTTGCTGAGAAAGCTACCAGGTGAATCAGAGGTCTCTTCATGACAATCAAGCCTAATGGCAGTTTATCCTTGAGCACAGAAAACTAAACAGTAGATATAAGAAGTAATGGCTAAATAGAAGAGTATGCACATGTATATATTACATGTAATTATTTAGGCCTCATAAAATACAAATTAATAAATGTCTTCTATACATATTTACTTTAATTGAATTTATTGGGGTGTCATTGGTGAATAAAATTATATAGATTTCAGGTGTACAATTCTATAATACATCATCTATATATTGTATTGTCAGTTCACCACCTAAGGTCAAGTGTCCTTCCATCACCATTTATTGCCCCTTTACCACCCTCTTCTACCTACCCCTCCACCCAACCCCTTTTCCTCTTGTAATCACCATACTCTTGCCTGTGTCTATGTTTTTTTCCCCTTTGCTTTAATCCCTCAAAGCGAGAGGGAGAGAAATAAAGAGAGAATAGCAGCCCAGTTGGTGTGGCTCAGTGGTTGAGTGTTGGCCTATGAACCAGGAGGTCACGGTTCAATTCCTGGTCATGGTACCTGCCCAGGTTGCAGCTCCATCCTCAGTGTGGGGCGTGGAGGAGACAGCCCATCAATGATTCTCTCTCATCACTGATGTTTCTATCTCTCTCTCTCTCCCTCTCCCTTCCTGTCTGAAATCAATAAAAATATATTTTAAAGAGAGAGAGAGGGGGAGAGAAAGAGAGAGAGGGAGGGGGAGAGAGAGAGAAAGAGAGAGAGAGAGAGAAGAGATGGGTGCCACAGATGCAGCCCAGAGCTCACTCTGGGTCTCAGAGAGGGGAGGAATCAGGTTGCCGCCTGCACTCTCTGCAGCCTGGTAAAGTAAATAAATACAGTGAGTGTTTGATATGCACTGAGGCTGAGCCCAGTGACCAGGTGGACACAGAGCACAGAGGTGTACTGTGACTGTCTAGCAGCTGCCATTGCCAGGCAGAAAAGAAGGCCATGGAGCCTACCACCCACTTTCCCCTCCCAGAGCTAGTAGCAGGCCCCAGAGAAGCTGTAACAGTGAGTGCTGGGCTACAGATTACATTATCTGCAGCACTGAGAACTGAAGAGGCAGAATCATTTTCCCCTGAGTGGCATATGCACGCATGCTGCAGCTTCATCCCAGTGATAGGGGTGGAGATACAGAGGTGAGGCAGCTATATCTCCCAGCTCACCCTGACCCTACCCATTGTGGCTGAGCCCAGCCAGGGCGCCTGGCACCCCTGTGGCAGTGAGGGCAGCATCTGGTTGCAGGGGACAGAGATGGGATTTCACAGGCTCGGAAGCCATTACCCACCACATTCTCCCATGAGGATGGTGCCCTGAAATGAAGGCGACCTGGTCACAGAGGAGATGCCCCCTACTCAGGAAATACAGGGTATTTCCCACTGACCTGAAGAGATGCTGGAAGCCAGAGCATTGCAAGAGAAACTGAAAAACTGCACTTCAGCACCACCTACTGGAAACCAAAAGAAAGACTTATCAACAGAGAAGTGCTTGCTATTCTTAAATAAAAAGCAGATGTCATCCCCATAGATACCTAGGCAGAGAGGAATCCACCAAATGAGGCAGCTCAGAAATAAAGATGAAAAATCTCCAGGTACTGAAATATGCGATTTAAATGATAGAGAATTCAAAATTGCACTTCTGATAAAACCCAACAAGAAAACTCAGATAGGCAGTTTAATGAACTCAGAAATAAAATTAATGAGAAAAAAGAGTACTTTACCAAAGACATTGAAACTTTAAAAATGGCCCTCACCGGTTTGGCTCAGTGGATAGAGCGTCGGCCTGCAGACTGAAGGGTCCCAGGTTCGATTCCGGTCAAGGGCATGTACCTTGGTTGTGGGCATATCCCCAGTAGGGGGTGTGCAGGAGGCAGCTGATCGATGTGTCTCTCTCATTGATGTTTCTAACTCTCTATCCCTTTCCCTTCCTCTCTGTAAAAAAAATAATCAATAAAATGTATATTAAAAAAAATGAACCAATTGAAATTCTGGCAATGAAGAACTCCATAAAGGAAATGAAGAATGAACTAGCACATTTAGGAAATAGAGCTGATAACTGGAGGAAAGAGTTAGTAATATTGAAGATAGAAATCTAGAAATGATGCAGATGGAAGAAAAAGAGACTAGAGGAAAGAAAGAAAGAAAGAAAGAAAGAAAGGCTGCTCACAGCACAGTCCAGGGGGACTGTCCGTCTCCCCTGGGAGCTTGTTGGAAAGCCAGGCCCAGAAAGAACTCTACAAGAATTATCTGACTTCATCAGAGAGAACCATAAAGAATAATGGGTATACTGGAAAAAGGAAGGGAGAAGGGAACAGAGAGCGTAACCAAACAAATAGTTGACTAGAACTTCCCAAACACATGGAAAGAAGTAGATCT